GGCAAGTGGAGACTCCTCACCACCTCCTCTGTCCCTGGAAGGTAAATTCAGCCCACCTTTCCCCATAGTGGGAGCCATTGCAAGGACATAGGCTTGGATGGTACACATGATTGAACCCAGTCAGGGCCTCTGTATACACTTTTAAAGTTCTGGTAGGCCACCAGAGACAAGTCTCTTATGTAAGTTCCCTTGCTTAGTAAACCTGCCCCCTCACAATCTGGAATGTTCTGCCTCCTTTCTTTGCTCTCTCTTTGCCCTCCTTGTATGGGGGCCAGTTTGTGAACCAACAGTAACCCTAGGATAAATTCCTGCAAGTAGAATTGCTATAGCAAAAGGTATATGCGTTTTTAATAAAGTGTAAATATTGACAAGTTGTCATCCAAAATGTTTGTATCCACTTGCAATAACTCACAAGTCATTTACCCAGATTCTCTCAAACACAAGGTATTATCATATTCTTTACATCTTTGCCAACCTGATATATTAAAAAGAAACCTGATTTATTTTAAAATTTGCCTTACTCTAATAATGACTACAAATCCCTTTATATTATGTTTGTACTTACTTAGTACTGCAATTAAAATATTCTGTCTTGTTGGTAAAGACAATTTTCTATTCAGTATATTCAGCAAATATTTAGTAAACATCCATTATGTGTCTAGTTGATTAGACTGAATTAGACTGAAAACAACGTAAGCAACAACAATGCTTGGTACCAGAGAATGTGGCAGAAAATATACACAATAAAAATGTTAATGGCAAAAGATTTTCCCATGGTATAACTAGTTTTGAGTGATACTGGCTCCTGATGAATGGCATGAATTAGCTACAAAATGTACCCATATGTAATTGAATAAATTGAGGTGTTAGCCAGAGTTATTCCATATTTTCTGCTTGAAAACTGGATAATATCAGCCAGAAATCAAATTTGGTTTTGGCATAATTAATAATGATCTGTTCTCTCTAGAAGTATGGTAATTAGAAATCTGGCTCAGTAACTCTTTAATGTCATCACTGGTTTGTGACAGAAAACCGTGACTCTGGCATTAAGAATGGCACTTCCTCATTTGCTATGGGACAAGGCAGCTAAGACAGGTGTTTGTTCTGGAGTTGAAGAAGGAGCTATGCCATAGCTTTCTTTTATGATGTAGTTTTAGGTTGAAATCTGAGCTGTCTAGAGACAATTTCAACCCTGATCATCACAGAGCTGTTAAAAATACAGATTTTATAAAAGCTTGATAGGGGCGCCTGGGTGGCGCAGTCGGTTAAACGTCCGACTTCAGCCAGGTCACGATCTCGCGGTCCGTGAGTTCGAGCCCCGCGTCGGGCTCTGGGCTGATGGCTCAGAGCCTGGAGCCTGTTTCCGATTCTGTGTCTCCCTCTCTCTCTGCCCCTCCCCCGTTCATGCTCTGTCTCTCTCTATCCCAAAAATAAATAAACGTTGAAAAAAAAATTAAAAAAAGAATAAATAAATAAAAGCTTGATAACAGTAGATTTATGCTAGGTTTTCACAGTTTGGTTCATGGACAAGCTGATGATAGATGGGGGAAAAAAGCTACAAAAATTTACCGTGTTCCAAAATGCTTCCTAAAGTGTGTTAAGAGGTAAGCTAAAAAAAAAAAAAAAAAAAAAAAAAAGTGTTCCATACTCAAAAAAACCCTAGGATAGCTTTTTTAAAAAAGTGAAAGAGGTTTCTTTATTACAAGATCTGTCTTTATTTGTTTTTAATGTTTATAAATAAATAATGTTAATAAATACATAATTTATTTTGAGAGAGAGAGAGTGAGCGAGCACATGTGAGCCAGGAAGGGGCAGAGAGAGAGAGGGCGAGAAAGAATACCAAGCAGGCTCCGTGCTGTCAGCACAGAACCAGATGCAGGGCTCAAACCCGCGAACTGTGAGATCATGACCGAAATCAAGAGTCTAAATTTAAACCGACTGAGCCACCTAGGCACCCCAAGATCTCAGTCTTTAATACAACAATGTGACAGGGACCCAGTTTTCAGTCTTACCCTAACTCATTTGACGGGCTCCCTATTTCCTGTGTGAATGTATGTTGTTTTTCAGACACCCAGGGTCCACTTTTTGTTCTCAAATCTGGTGGGGTTGTGATAACAGGTCCCTCCCTACCCCAGCTACAAGTTAGGACAACTGGAAACTGGAATCTGAACCGGGAGTATCAAAGAACAATAGATTGGGGTCCACCCAAACAGCAGTGAAAGACATCCTATCATGATATTTCTGCCCCGATGTGATCCTGTTATCATGGTGTCTGTGCCCTTTGGGAACTAACTACTCTAACTCTTGCAGATTTCCAAGCCTGCTTGTATGTATTGGCTGCCCATAGATTCTTAGCATGGTTATCTTCCCATCAAATACCTTTTTGCTTAAATTCATTGGAGTAGTTTTTTGTCACTTTGCAATGAAAAGATCCACACTTTTTCTTTCTTTCTTTAGCTTATCTCTTATAATTTCACTAAATTGAAACAGAGACAATGTCTATTTATTGACAACTGAAAGCCCTACACCAATTACATTGCTTAACACATTCTAAGAATTCAAAAACAATTCTTGAACAAATGACTAGCCTTTCAAAGAACGGCTTTTGGGAAGTATTGTTTTAAGCTATTTTCTCTATGACGGAAAAGATCATATATAATGGTATCCAACAGAGAAATACCTATTTGCTCTTCTAGTAAGAGTATACTGGAATACACATTTGTGTTGAGTTTTGATCACTGTCTAACAAACTATGGAGTCGTCCAATATTTTAGATAAATAAAGGCTTTTTAATTTAAAAAATCTATACTTTAAATCAATCTTAAGGAGTCACTTAGGGGGAAAAAAACCCTCTCTGAAGTAGACATTTTAGTAGATATTTAAGATATATTTTCTTAGTTCCTCAATATCCATGTATCAGTCAGCAATATTTATTGAGCCCCTAGTATGTGACTGGCATTGTGCTAGTGGGTAGGACTACCTATCACAAACAAGACAGACCCAGCTTGAGTAGTAAGAAACCTTACATAGTCACACAGATGGTGACTTGGTGGCATAAAGATTTTTGTTTTCTGTGTAATTGCAGTTATATTCTTTGTTCTATTTAACCATTTTAAATAAATACCTTCTATTTATTCCAAACAGTTAATCTAATCAACAGACGGGTTTAAATACTTTTTTAATTTATTTTGAGAGGGAGAGAGAGAAAGAGAGAGAGAGAGAGAGAGAGAGAGGGAGCACACAAGTTGGATAGGGGCAGAGAGAAAGGGGAGAGAGAAAGAATCCCAAGCAGGGTTCACACCATCAGCACAGAGCCCGATGTGTGGCTCAAACCCATGAACTATGAGATCATGACCTGAGCCGTAACCAGTAATTGGACGCTTAATGGCTGAGCCACCCAGGAGCTCCTAGATGGTTTTAAAATTTTAAGTGCATTCAACTTAATAAATATTTTATGAATCTTAAAGAAGTGTTTATTGACACCAGTCATAGTCAGTATTTTGGGTTCAAACATGCTTTCACATTTATTCTTCTGGTATGAAACCACACCCCATGAAAAATAACAAATGCATATGAAAAATTCTAGAGAATAGCACTGCACCTAGTGTTTGTAGTCTGTTATTTGTCATTCTTCCCAGCTTCTATCCTGGGGTCCAAGACTGCTAGATAAGTAGGCCTCCAGTGCCCTAGAGTCTGGGAATGATGGACTGGAAGCCAGAGAGTCAGGCCCCAAGGTATGGGGCAGGGGTAGCAAACAGCCCCATAAAACCTGTGGGTCTGAAAGTGAAAAAATTGCCGAACCTCAAAAATTGTTTTGAGGCTAATGGAAATGTTGACACCTACAAGTAGATCAAGGCACTGTTCCTGGCTCAAGTGTAGAACACAAACCTGCCAGAGAGGAGGCTTAACCATTCTGTGAAATTCCATCTTTGTGGTAGTTTAAATCCTGAACTTTAAACAAAGCACAATTTACCCCAATTTAGTTTCATTTTTCTTTTTTTTTTTTTTTAATTTTTTTTTCAACGTTTATTTATTTTTGGGACAGAGAGAGACAGAGCATGAACGGGCGAGGGGCAGAGAGAGAGAGGGAGACACAGAATTGGAAACAGGCTCCAGGCTCTGAGCCATCAGCCCAGAGCCCGACGCGGGGCTCGAACTCACGGACCGCGAGATCGTGACCTGGCTGAAGTCGGACGCTTAACCGACTGCGCCACCCAGGCGCCCCAGTTTCATTTTTCTTATACCTGATGGCTTAACTCTGCATCGGACCAAGGTTTTCATTGCAAAAGTGGAATATGGAATATTTTTACCTATTAAAGTTGTCCACTTTGCTTCAGTGTGTGCTGTAAGCATGTTATACATAGGAATGACATCAATGACCCGCAAGTGGCACAAGAGTGGGCCAAGCTCTTAAGTTTAACAGAGGTTGTTGTCTGTTTACGGTGTTAATGCTGAATTAGCTGTAACCAAAATACCCTTCCTCATTTCTCAGGTTCAGGGCCCCTATCCAACCTTAAAGTTACCGTGAAGTCTTTCCCAACATTACCGTAAAGCCATAGAGGGGTGGCTAGGAATAGTGGCAATGTGAACTTTTCAAGTCAGTAGTGTCAGGGAAGCAGAGGGACAGCGCTCGAGGTCACACCGTCTGTTCCCGCCAGTTGCTCTCCAGCCATGGGAAGGGATTCTGTGAGCAGGTAGGTTGGGTTCTCGGGTATCGGTCACCACAGCTTCGGGCGCAGGCCGACTGTAGTTCTGACCCAGCGGCCCACAGCGCAGGTGCCAAAGAGCACGAAGTCGGGCTGCGCGGAGGAGGGTGACTTCCGGGGAGAGCGGGAGCGCGCGCTGGCTCGCCGTCGGGAGCGGGGGTGGGGGGTGGGGAAAGCGCGGCGTGCGCGCCTCCCCGGCGGCTGGTGTGGGAGGAGGGGAGCGTGCGCGCGGGCTGGCCGGCGCAGAGGGAGGGGGCGGGCGTGCGCGCTGGCTCGCCTGAGGCGGGAGGGGGCGGAGCCGCATCAAGGTCTGAACCCGCCCCGGGGTCCGCCAATGTGCGTCTCCAGGCAGACGCGGCCGCCTGGGGCAGAGCGAGCCGGGACGCGCCACCTGCGGTGCTGGCTGCTGCTTTTTATTTACTAGCAAACACTGTTTCCCCGCGGGAGAGTCCGGGAGCGCGCGGGCACACACATACACACACACACACACACACACACACACACGCTCACTCACTGAACACACGCGCTCGCGCACACACATATACATACACGCTAGCGCTCTTGTCTTCACAACTGCATCCCCAAACCGACAGTGCGAAGCTACTGCGGTTTCTCTTAACCTCAGCATCGTGAGGGAGAAGCAGAGCCGTTGTGCATCAGGGAGCGCCCGGTGCCTGCGCTGCCGCCTCGGGTACATACATAACCCAGCAGACCGCTCACCCCATCGGGTAAGCCAGTCTCTCCTTGTAACCTGTTCGGGGTAGGTGCCTGTGGCCCGGAGGGAGGGGGTGGGAGGCCGCTGGTGCGCCAGTGGGGGCGAGACAGGAGTTAAAATTTCAGGGGTATGCGGCCGGTGCAGCTTTACCAGCGTCGTCTAGCGGGAGCAATTACTACTCCCGTTACTTATTCTACCAACCGTGGAGTTGCTCCCCCGCCTTCTCCCCTTCCCCCAGCCCGAGACGTACTGTGCTCTTTGGTTGCCAAGGAGACTTGCTTAAACATCAGCCTTGGGCCGTCTATTGAAAGAAGTAGTTTTTAAAAAAATGATGTTGTTATTTATTACGTTTAAAAAAATAAAATACACGCTGAGGGCCATGTGGTGATTTGGCAACCGTTAATATGTATTCTGGGCATGGTTTCATTCAACTTCAAGGAAAGCGGTAATGCGCTATATGGTATGCTTCAAAACGGATTCGTCAGACGGGGTTTTCAACGGATTGTGTCTTGAATCATAAAGTACTCCAATTTTGGAGACCTTATAAAGAACAATGAGTCCAGTGAAAATCCCCTTTCCCTTCTAATTCCACATTATATCCTGCAGTTCACTCAGGCATGATTATCTTCATATTAAAAGTAAAAGAGGAATTAATTGTGGTTCCTCGCACAAGGGTGGTCTATTGCAAATGGACCAGAACAGGAATACATAAGTGAATTCCTAATGTAAGGAGAGAGCATTCACGACAGAAATCTTTGCTAACATTTCTGTGGGCACTGCAACATTACTTAAGTGCAGTTGTCTGCACCTCTGCCCATTTGTGAGAAGATTCTGTCTTATTTCAAGGCTCTTATGTTTTTGTTTTGTTTTGTTTTACACATATCTATATGTTGATAGATATAGGTGTAGAATTTGTGCCATGGCTTATTACTGCAGATTCTAAGGTTTTGGAGCTTCTATTGAAATGTTGAGAGGAGGGAGGCACAGAGAGAGCCTCATAGATCCTTTTGTGTTTTTTGTTTTGTTTTGTTTTGTTTTCCTGTTGGACCAGATCATTTACCAGAGCACTGGGTGAGGCCCAGGGAGGAGATCAATGCTCATATCTCACAGGAACCCCTAATGATGGGGCTGTGAGTTTTACTTTGAGGCCTCAGGTGCCTAGTGGGTGAACTTACAACAGCCCTTGAAGGGATAAGCGATCCAGTAATTACACTTTGCACTAATTTCATACTTTCATTACAAACAGAAAGGACCTAGTAAAGATCCACTGACATTCGGTAATACATTTCGTTTTTCTTTGATATTTGTTCATCTTCTTACCTTTTATTAACTGAGGCAAGGAAACATATCAAATTCTTTTTATTTAGATATTAAACTATGTCATACAGAGTAGCAATATGAGGAACAAGGAAGCCAGTAACAGCTGAGGTAAGTAGAGGGGATTTATACAAGTGACAGGGGACTGGGAAATGAATAAAGATGACAAATATTTTATATTACAGTTTACAAAGTACTTTTCCACTCTTCTTTTTTATTTCCCACAACAACCTGATGAGGTCAAGGGATTAGCTTCAGGTTAAAACTGAAGAGACCCAAGACTCAGAGCTTGTGGAAGGTCACAGAGCTAGTGAATGGGGAAGCCCTTTTTGGATCCAGGTTCTTTGCTTAAAAAAAAAACAAAAAAAAACCTGGGTCTGCATTTCCAGTGCACAGGTAAGATAAAGGAGTGGAGCAGGCCCAGTGGTCCTGCCATGTAGGAGGGGGGGTTGTGGATTATGGCCTGTGGAACATGAAAACCACTATTAAAAGGGCAGCTCCAACGTGCCTGTAGCTGATTGTTGCCACCCTGGTTGTAAAACAAGGGAATCAGAAGCTTACGTGTTTTTATGTGAAGTGTCCTTAATTTTATAAACTGTAAGGACCACACTAAAAATGTATTTGGGCCACATGTGGCCTGTGGCCTGCCAGTTGCAATCTATAGCTACTGAGCTCTCATTCAGTTCTTAACTATTTTTCTCTTACAGAATACTGATGTGAGCAAATACATCCATCACTGTAAAAGTGATTAGGAGTTTTCTGGTTTTGATAGTAAGTCTAAAAAATGTGCCATATCCTTTCTTCAATAAACAGGTCCAAGTTTGTTTTTTAGAGTTCCTCGGTCTCTCTCTTATACCTCAGAGAAAATAAAAGAAAATGAAGTGCTCCAAAAGAGGATTTTTTTTTTAACTGGTGAAACAAAAGCATTTATAATTTAAAACTTCTTGTGTTCCTGGGTTAATTTTTTTTTTCTGGGCACATACAATAAAGTATAGAAAAAGTAGATCAGGTACCTGACATTGTAGGTGGAGGTAGAATAAAAAGTTGGTCAGAAAAAGGAGCATCCTGGGGTGCCTGGGTGGCTCAGTTGGTTAAGCATCCAACTTCAGCTCGGGTCATGATCTTGTGGTTTGTGAGTTCCAGCCGCACATCGGCCTCTGTGCTGACAGCTTAGAGCCTAGAGCCTGCTTCAGAGTCTGTCTCCCCCTGTCTCTGCCCCTCTTTCGCTTAAGCTTTGTCTCTCTCTCTCTCAGATGTAAATAAACATTAAAAAAGAAAAAAAGAAAAGAAAAAGGAGCATCCTGAGCCTTTCAGTGAAAACCTGTTATTAAGGCTTTAGGTAATTTGCTAAAAACCCACCACAGAATACTGCAGTATTCCAAAGGGGGGAGGGGTGGAATACCATAAACGGGAACTCCCAAAGGATATTCACTCCTAGCACACTGACATAAAAAATATTGTTTACTTCTTAAATAACAGCATCTTGTAATAAAGCAAATACCTTTTGAAAAGCTTCCATTTTCTTATGTTTCTACTGATACTACAGAGATGTCAGTGGATTTCATTGAAGCAGACCTGGTGGGGTCAGAAAGTAGTTATTTATGTCATTTCTTTTGTGGATCCAAAAAGATGTAGTTAAAAAAAAAAAAGCGAAGATTTGAACAGTGGCTTCTAAGAGTTCTCTTATTTTAAAATCTCCCTCTAGAAGGATGCTTTCATAGGAAATGCATTTCAGTTTTCAATTCCTGGAAGTATGTTGCACCTCTAGTAAAGAGCTATGGAAATGTTGGTTAATACTAACATAACTAAGTCTTAGCTTGGCCCTGTGGGGAGAACAGCTCTGCCCTCAAGGATTCAGAGCAAACAAACTTACTGTTCCTGGTAGCTTCCACTTTTACGGCTTCTTTCATGTTTTCCGTGTTTGGAAGACTACTATCTATATTGTCTCCCTAACGTCCTTGTAAAGTAGGGATTTTATTTCCATTGTATAGATAGAGAATCAGAGACTGTGGGAAGTTAAACCAGACCCATGAAAGACAGCTTCCAACCTCAGTAGCCCTCCTCACTTCACACCTCTCCTTCTCTGCTGATTACCTAAGGGAAGTTATAGACATGTACATAATTGTGATTTTCAGGCAGTTGTGTGTTAAATGCTAAGATACAGATACCAGATTCCGTAGAAGCCCAGATACAGGAAAAAAATGAAAAAATACTCTGATTGTAGAGGTCAGATTATTCCTGTGTAGGAGGAGGATTAGTGCTGAACCTTGATGGCTGGCTCTGATTCTAGTAAATGAAGATCCCGTCAGCGATGGAAAGGAAGCGACAGTCAGTTGGAAATGTGAGTTGAGAGGATGAGGCTCATGATATCTAATATTGATGAGCTCATCATTGTTGCTGAAGGGATGACACAAGCTGTGTGGTCAGAAATATGGTCTCCAAGATGGAGTGCAGCAAGAACATGGAAGTAGGGGTATGTGGCAGGGGGTGGAGGAAGACAGGGTGGTGAAGGAGACTAGCAGAGAGTTGTAGACATGGGCGAGAATCTGGAGACGATAGTACTGATTCTTCTTAAAGACTGACATAGGGCAAGGGACGAACCAAGTATTAAATTCTCTATGCAGAGTCCGGTAAACAGTAAATACTCATTAACTATTACGGTGTGCCTGTATTCTTAAAAATTTTTTTTTTTAAATTTTATTCTAGAGAGGAGGAACACAAGCAGGGGAGAGGGACAAAGGGAGAGAGAGAAAGAGAGAATCCCAAGCAGGCCTCTTGCTTAGCACAGAGCCTGACACCGGGCTAGATACCCTGGGATTGTGACCTGAGCCAAAATCAAGGGTTGGTCACTCAACTGACTGAGCCACCCAGATGCCCCAGTGTGTCCATATTCATAACATCCAGCATCTGGCACCTGACTTCCTCTCATGATACCGCTTTTATGTAGAAAGAAAGTGTACACAGATATTTTACATGAATTCAGTTGGAGTTGGACAACTATCTGGAGTTTCAAGTATGGGCAGGAGATTGTGCAAATTAGATGAGAGAAGACCATGTCAGTGGAGACATTTTCTCTTAGCAGGGCCATAGATTTAGAGGTCAGGGAGGCTCTTGCAGATGCAGATTGTGATGTTGGATACACCTTTGATGAAGTCTCATATCTATGGGGCAAGTGAGGAGAAATTTAAGCTTGCTTGCTAGCTCTTTGAAAATAGACACTCAAACCCAGGGTGGCAAATAAATGTACTCTGTTCTTGGTCTTGCTTAGGTCAGTATTTTTGTTACCTGAATGAAGATATGAAAAAAAAAAGTGACAAGCAAGCAGAAAGATTTGTATTCAAGTACTAGATCTGCAGTGAGTGGGTAGGATGGTGGGCACAAGGTAACGGGAGGAAATAAAATAGAAACGTGTCATAGCTAGCCAGAGTCTAGCACTGAGGACACTTGGCACGATAGGAGTTTGCTTTAAAGTTGGGGGGATTTAATTCCCATCAAGTATGATGATTTGCTCTTCACGGATATATGTGGAAAGTAATGGATACTATTCAGAGCCAATGATGTGAGGAGTCCCCCTTTCTTATTTAACCTTTTGGTGACAGTGACTGTAGACCAGTGGAGAGAATCTCTGTGTTAGGTAGTACCTTACTCCCCTTTCCTTGCCCTTATATAACTGGCTGATGTTATTTTGGAATTTCT